ATGATGGTGATGGCTGTACAAGGTGAATAAGGCCACAGAACTGTACACTTAAAAATATCTAAAATGGTAAATGCTGTTATGCATATTTTACCACAGTAAGAAAAAACTCCAGGTGACACTACATGTAGGTGTGATGAATGAATCAATAAAAGTTATTTATTAATAAAAGAAATTAAGAAACTAAACAGTCTTAATCTAATAATTACTACTTGCATACTTCCTGTGTTTTTAAATGTTTTTCCTAATGCATAGGTTATTTTATTGTGGTAATTAGCCTGTATAAGTTAATTTTCTTTTACTTAACATTCTTCAGAGGCCTTTTTTCCAAATTATTTCAATCTGTCGACGTACATTATTTTAATAACTGCATGATAACTCTTCAAGTGTACCTTGCATAGTACATTTAGCCACTTAAAAACATTATGAAAGAGTGCAATGCACACCATCCGAGGGATGGACACACTTGAAACTCGGACTTGGTGGGGGGAAGGGCAACATACGTAACCTAAACATCTGTACCCCCATAATATGCTGAAATAATAAAAAAAAATTACGATGCTTACTACTATTTGATATCATTAAAATGGCAGGGACAGCTCAGTTCTTAGTTTTACTTATATTTAGATTTATTTCCTTAGGTAACATTCCCAAAATTGACATTACCAAAATGAACACTGATTTGAATCATATGACTAAATTTCTCCTCAAAAGGTTGATACCAAATCATTTTGCTTCAAGCAATCTATGAAAGTGCCAAATTCATCATAACTTTTAAAGCATGAGGTATTATCAGATTTGGAAATCTTTGTTAATTTGAAAGGAGAAAATGCCATATGACTACCATTATTTGCATTTCAAATGAAATAGCATTTCATTGCAATTTCCATTACGAGACTGATCGCTGTCCTATATGTTTATAAACTGGCTATGTTTTCCTCTGTGAATTATTTGTTTCAATCTTTTGCCCAATTTTCTACTGATCTTGTTAAGTTTGTCTACATGACATAACTCCATGATATTCAATAAACCTAACCATTTTTGTATGCCATAGTGTAAGCTATTTCAATGTTTCACGTGGGTATGTTTTACCTGCTACTGGAACAAAGAAAAAAATGAGAGTAATTTGAGGATAATTCCAAGACAGGACTTTACGCTCTAGCAGGTGACTACAAAAGGAGAAAGAAAATACCTGGCTTCATTTCAGGCATCCCCATCTCTACAGCTACGCTGGGAGTATGCACCTCACTGTAGTAAATCAGGAGTTCCACGTCCCGATCATACTTGTGTCCATCAGCCAGGGAAACCTGAGTTGGGGACAGGCAAAGGAGCCACATTAGAACTATCACTGTTTGCTTCCTGGAGCTGATGTCAGAGCTGAGGGCGACAGGCTTCTTCCTTGAGTGAACACTATCAGGAGCAGAAGTGAGAATGGAGAGAAGGCTCTGGATGTTAAACAGGGATAAGGAAGGAGCATCAAGCGACTCCGTCTGGGTTAACGTTTGCGATAAACTGGGTGAGGACCAGCCAAAACTCAAGGAACAGGAGTACTGGCAACAATAGTACCCTCTCATTAATTACCTGAGCAGAAGTCTTATCATCTCCAAGGTACTCAGTAGGACTCAAGGGGCAGTTGGATTGGACTTTCTCAATGCCATGCTGGGAAGTGATGGTGGCGACCATACTGAGTGTGTAGGGCAGGTCCTCCTCCAAAGGGACTATAGGAATCCTCCTATTAAGGCAGCTGTGCTGAGAACATCCTACAAAAAGTTACCATAGTTGTGTTTTCCTTGCCAACACTTTTTAGCACATACACATACAACCTTAAGGGGGTTTCCCCACGACCAGTATTCAAAGGGGAGGGGTACTCACCAGAGAGCTGGTATCTGGGATTCAGGACAGTTGGGAGCACGAAGCGCAGGGCACCATCTGCTTCCAGGGACAGCTCCTGCACATACCTCAGCGTGAGTGCTACCTTCGCCCCAGGTTGGAGGTTCCCCACATTGCAAGAGAAGACATCCCTGGAGCTCACGTCCTCCTCCAGTAAGAAGGCCTGGTGCCCCTGGGAGATGGCATTCTCATAGTTTGCGTGGGCCTAAGGAGAACAGGGTGAGGGTGGAAAAGAAAGGTAACATCAAAGGTGACATGGTTGATGAAGACACAAGCAGTGCAGAAAGCAACCTGATGGGGAGGGACTCTGATTGGTCTTGTCAAGTTCACAGCTACGCTTTGAATGTCTCTGATTGATTTCCCCCACGCCAAGTGATTTTAGGAAAATAGCAGTTAGAATGGAGTGGAGGAAAGAGCTTTCAACAACAGTATGTTTTGTGAAGTTGCATTTGACAGGTATCCTAAATGTTAGGGACAGGGGCAGGTTGCCAGCCCTAACCACAGAAAAACAAGAGGAGGGCAAAAAGGAGGAGAGCAATATGCATTTAAAAGCTAAATAGCAATGGCAAGAACTTACATTTAGGGACTTTTCCTGGCCAGGAGCATGAGCAGAATCTAGGAGCTCATGTCTAAAGGTGACCTTTCCCCCTTTAACATATATTAGCATAAGAAAAATCACACCCATCAGCGCCATGACAGTTTACAATTGTCATGGCAACCCATGGAGGTTACCTTACAAGGATAAAAACCGGGAGGGCCCTTAATTCTAAGAACTCTGCACCCTTTTCCCAGGATAGTTATGAATATTCCACCCCACCTTTAGCATATCATAAGGCATAGACATAAATGTAGGTTCTTCTCCACTCATGGAGACAGACCTATTTCCCCTCAGGAAATGTACTTTCACTTTCTATTCTATGCTGACGAGCCTGCAATAAAAGCTGCTTGGGTAGAAATGCTAGTATCTGTCATCTCTCTGTAGCATGGCCTGGCTTGTAATTCCTTCAAGCCAGGAGCCAAAGAATCAGGGCAACATCTCAAAGAAAGCAACCCTGACACTAAAGAATATGCATTAATAAGAAGAGAGGAGCTAATGTACTCATCCCTAGTACCTTTATCTTGTCCTGTAATTCTGCTACAATTTTCTTCCCATCCACCAAGGCTTCGAAGTTGTAGACAGCAGAGTCTTCATCCATGGGGAATATAAAGGCAGCCTCCAAAGGAACTTTCTGCTCATTCTCATAGTTGAGGGTTGCAGACACACCAGTCACAAACTCATTAATGGACAAGCTCACAGAAATACTCTTTAGCGGCACTGGAGACAGACCAGAATTCAAGAGTTCAACAAGCTTTAACGGAATGCCTCCTGCAGGCCAAGCCTTGTGCTAGGTGCCAAAGATACAATGGCAAGTAAGAGTCACAAATTGGGCTTACCGGGCTTCTGTTTGTCAGTGAGCAGGCCACAGGGGGTCACCATGGTGATACAGAGTTTCTGTAGAAAAGACACATCACAAACAGAGTGACATGTTGAGAGTTGTCTATTTCAACACCAGTACCTTTTGCACTTCTGTCTGGCATAGAAATACGTTCCAAGGGCTAATGTTGGCACTAAGAAGGAAGCTGGAAAGAGGGGGGCAAAGATTCCAAAAGTAAAGCTCCTTCCAAAGGCTGGTCTCAAGTGGGAAAGCTATCAGATTCACTACTACCCACTAAACAGGAAATTGTTTAAACACCCGAGGCCGGTTCAAACACTGATCCCACTTTTCGAAAAGTGTAATACACCACTCCTTATACCACTGAATAGGTGTCACTAACCTAACCCCTCTGAACTCAGAATTCTCTTTCTAAAATGAGAACCATAACACCTATATATCATATATGAATTAATACATGTAAAGTCCCTAGAACAGTGCCTGGCCCATAGGAGGCATTTAATCAATGAAGACAAACATCTGTATCGTTTCTATTATAGTAGGTACTGTTGTTCCCTATAAACCTCTGCTCTAATTCACTTAGGATTATGCTATTCAGAGACCTGCATGTGAGAAGATGCGTGATCCAAAATGGGCTCCTGCAACTTTGACAGCTTACCCTGTGACTTTTCTTTTTGGGCTCTTAATTGAAGCCGCTGTTTGTTTTCTCTGTCCAGGATATTCTCATATATATAAATATTACATATGTGCATGTCCTCTATTTTAAATCAGGCCGTCCTAAACATATCTCCCAAATTTTATTATAATCCTGGACAATCATTTCATGTGATATGGTAACAGATAAATTTTATGTATTGAGGTTATAATTTACATTATGATTCCTTTATCCTGAAAGTCTACAGGTGGGTTTGTTTGGTCCTAGTGATGGCCCCTAACGCCACTGGGTGATGTTCTGGAACAATTCTGAGCTGGATTATTTGCCAGTTTGCCACTCCTTGTTTTGTCAAGGCATTAATTGACCTGCAACCTTCAGCACCAATACGGGGGCTTTTCACTGAAAACATACCTTAATGAGCTAAAATAGCCCTGCGTAGCACACAGAGGATACTGAAGAAAAATGAAACTAATATATTTATCCAGAGGCCCAGAGACAGATGAGTCACTGACGACCTCAAGCTTCCCTAAGGAAGCAACAAGCCAGAAAAACATTGGCTTTTGAGAAAGGCAGCTTTCCTTCCTAACACAACCCACCCTCAAGGATTCCGAAGCTTCTGACAGGACTGTGTCTGTGCCCCTACACTCCTCCCAATCACCATTTAAAACATCCCGCCCACCCCATCCAAGTCAACATCCATGTTGCTCATCCACCTGACGGCAAGGGCGTTTCTTATACGCTGTGCCCCATCCCCACACATCAGCACCCAAAATCAGGCTTTTCATTTCATATTGTTTTTATTTGGAGCCATTGGATAAAAACTGAGTGTGGCAACATGGCACACAATTTGACAGCAACACAGGGGACAGTGGCAGGTGTGAGGTAAAGAGAGGATGCTCGGGAAAGATTTTCCGTGTGGACCCTTGACTGGGGCAAGTTCTCTGGTGAACAGGCTGGGGGCGGGGGAGGGAAGGATTGCTAACAACAGCAGCAGGGACCTTAAAGCAGGAGAATCAACAGGAGTAAAACAGCTGGAGGAATTGCGTCAGGTAACCAAAGCTCTCGGGCTGGGCAGTGCTCACCAAGCCTGTCTGTGAGTGGAAGGAAAAGGAGCAGAGGGCGTCCCCTACGAAGAAACAGCCTTCATTTCCTCATTCTAACCCCAGATTGAGGGATCTTGCTATTCTACACCCTTTACCCACCCCCCTTCCCAGTGCAAACAAAGTGAGTTTGATCAGAACTAGTTCTGGGCCTCAGGATGGCACTTCAGCAGGGCACCTAGAAATGCATAGGTAAACACTGGCCGCAGGAGCTGACCAAGGTCAAAGCCTTGCATCTGAGGAAGCTGGGAGAATAGAGAGCTTCTCCCTGAGCCAGGTAGCTGCTGCGTAGGTGGCCCCTCAGGAATGCAGAGTCCCAGCCCTGAGCTGCTCTAGCGCAGGGGTTGGGGGGAGCTGGGTGGTACAGCCTGCCTGACCCTGCTCCCTATTGCAGGGGAGAATTGGAGAATCTGGCCAAGAAAGAGATCTGGGATGCAGGGTGGGGCTTGGATAACGTGAGAGTAATTTAATCTTTCAATTTTCAATCCTAGATTTTTAATGTCCTGGTAATTACAGAAGGGACAGAAGGGTTTATGGGCTGCAATTGATTGGGTAGGTGAAGGCTTATGACCAAATTTCTGCAGCATAAACTTACATAAAATTGAGAAAATAACATCAATTGTCCATATCAAAGGAAGAAAGAAGGAGAAAGAAAAAGGTAAAGTAAAAGAGAATGAAAGTAGGAGAGGGGCCTTGAGATTAGGAGATGGCTAAATCCCCCTCCGGCCCCGCCAAGATTCCCCTAAACTGCCAAAGCTGCAGAGAGCACCCCCCGCCCTCCCCGGTTCACGCACCAGGACTAAATTCCTCACCTCCTGGACTTGCAGTTACAAGAAGCCTCTACAGGTTTCAGATCTGCGGAAAGGAAGTTAGAATGTGCAGATTTTGGTCCTCAGGTGCAGAGGGTGGCATCCAGCCCCAGGACAGGCTGTGCGGTCGCCTACCTTCTCCAGAAATCCGGGGGTGCTCTGAGTCACTGGAAAGTGAAAACAACAGCAGACAAAATTTCCAGGAGGACCCGCCCCCTTCTAGGGACCGGTTATAAAGTAGCAGTTACATGAGTAAGGGACCGATAGAAAATTCTGAAACATACAGGCAGTGCCTGGGTTACAGAGATGTGTTCCTGAGAATGTCTTTAGGTCATATTTGCATGCAACTGCAGATCCCTGATGAACAGCACATAGAGGGTAGTAATAATAATAACACTATAACGGCTCGTATGTGGTAATAATAATACCGTGGAATACTGTAATAATAATAATAATACTTCTGTGCTGTAATAATAAGGTACAGAAACTGTTGTGCTCTTTCTTCTCATTCGAACAAACAGAACATAAAAATGAGGTCATACAAAAAGTTTAGATGGGGCAGGAGAAATTTCAAAGAAGAATATTAAAGGTTAACATTGACCTGGTGTTGCGTCAATGTCTGTCTTACTGGAAGGGGCATTTCTGAGGCAAAAAGAAAGGTAGGTGACATTCATCAGAAGAGTACGAGGAAGATGGTGCTGGAGAATCAGGGTTGGAGTCTGTTGCTGGAGCAGGGGAGCTCACCACTGAAGCCTGTCTTGAAAAAGGAAGCTAGGGTTGTCTGCACAGCTTTTTCCTTTCTTTAATCATAAATGGGCTTGTAGCAGCTGATGTTTTCGCTGACTGCAAGGTAAGCCTTTGTAAACTGCTCAAAGTTAAAATCTGGCTCCTCAGGTTTAGCAAACCCCGCTTCAATGAGAGGAAAAGCTTCAGCTAATTCTTTTTTCAGATACTTTCTTGTCTTTGGATCTTCTGATCCTTCACATTCTTGGGCTGGTATCAATTCCTTCTCTATGTATCTATGGAACACCCTAAATCAGAACATCCTTAACCCGGGTACTACCTGTAATCAAACCTTTGCTTTTCTCTGGATCAACGGAAATTTCTTCAACATTGGAACGTTTGGTTTTGTCCTTTGATCCTTGCTAAGGATCAATCAGAGATTGGCAAAGGGAAGGGAAAGTGAAAATGCCACAAGAGTGAGAACATCAATGAGGACATTAAAAACTACATATTTCTGTAATATTAATAGAATCGCTTACCAAGGGCTTACAGTATGCTGGACCCTGCTAATAAAAACTTCATGGGTGTTATGTCATCGGCTCCTTACCTCCAATTTGAGTCATTTGTCCCAAAGCTGTGCCCTCCCCACAGCACTGGGGGAAGACCAGCAGCCGGGCTCAGACACAGACTTCTGCTTACTTGAGAGACCGTCCTGTCATGCAGGGCCACATCTTTCTGTCATGGATCAGCGGTATCACGGGATTACTGGTATTTCATCAGGATCCTGAAATCACATGTTTGGGGTAACAATGCAAGTAACTGAAAATATCTGTGTTCATTTTCCTGGCCAAAGGACACTAGAAGCAACCAGATTTCCCTTATCTTCTCTACTTCAAAATGACTTATTAAATCTGGGGCTTAAAGAAAGAGTCATATTGCTGTTAGAATCTGTCTACGGTAAAGAATATATGATATGCATGAAAGATTCAGCCTGATTTTGGTCTCTGTGATGTTTCGGTGGCAGATTTACTCTCCCTGACTTATCTGTTCTCTTACCTGTAAAATGGGGGTAATGATATATCTACATCCCTCGGTTAAGATTTAGTGGATCTTAATGGATGTTAAAGTAGTATAAGTATGTGTGTGTGTGTGTGTGTGTGTGTTGTGTGTGTGTTATGTGTGTTACATGTGTGTGTATATACATATATATTCACACTTATGCATACACAGTATACATACATGCATATATAGTACAGCACTATATAAGCACAAATTGTATTTTCATGGCCTGAGAAACATGTTTTTTGCATGTACCAAACTAATTATAAGAGGGAATGATCCTTTTCTCTGGGTAGAAATCATGTCTGGTATTGTTTTTTGTGGCTGTACCTTCTTTTCATTGACTGAAGTATCTGGGAAATGTACCCTTCTTTTTGATATTAGTAAGAACCCTAAGTTTAGCAAGTCTATGGCCATTCAGAACAAAGACATTTCCCAGCCTCCCTTAAAGATGGTGTGACCTTGCGACTAAGTTCTGGCCCATGAGATGCAAGAAATGACAACTGCACCACTGCGTCATTCCCCTTCCCTCCACCCTCTTCCTGCGCACTGGTGGGAATGTAGATATATCTGAGCCTTATTGGACCATGAAGATTAGGAGAAAAAATCTAAATATGGAGAAGCAACAAGATAGAAAGATCCTGAATCCCTGAGACTGTCAAGGAGCAGAGCCTCTGTATCATCACAGACTATTACAAGAGACAATAATGAATTTCTCCATGGTTTATATCCTCTCTAGGGCTCTGTGCCACACAGTCCTTACCCTTCCTAATACACCTGATTATGATCAATAAAAAAAGTGTTAAGGAGACTGTCTTCTTTTGCATAGAAAAGTACATTTGGATAAAATGAAAAAAGAGATCTGTGTATTATGAAAACAATATCCAATTCATCTCAGCAGCCCCCAGCGTACACACACGTGGCTTAAACTATGCTGGTGCGTGTTGATCATAGATTGCCGCTTATTTTTCCACAGTTCTTCTGGGAGTCATTTCCCTTCCTGAAATAAGGGCTGTTTGTCTTACCACAGAGAAAGCTTACCACTGGTTCAAACAGACTTTCAATGAATTGTTTTGCTCATCCTCCCATTTCTGTTACTCTTTTTCTTCAATGTTCTCTATCTTTATTAGCAAGGAGTCTCATTTAAGTCTCCTGTTCTATTTGTTCTCTTTCTTGTGATGTTTCCATGGCAATTCATCTAACACTTCCTGTAGTTTTTATCATGCTTGAGCCCTTTATGTCCTCTTAAAACTCGTATACCTTAAAGAAAAACAATTCCAAAATGCATAAAATTAATGATTATTGAATAAATACATATAAATGCCAGTGGTTGTATATACTCTTATGTCTTATAATTGCTATTCGCCATAGATATTATAAGATAGATTTCAAAAAAATCAAATGAACAGATGCTCATACATGTGTACAAGCCTCACATTTATTACCTGGTAATAACACTTATACTTAATAGACATCATTTTCATATGATCACTGATAACTTGGAAATTTAGTATTTGAAAAAATCACACAAAAACTGGGCTCACCAGAAACTTATCATAGATAAATGGATAGGTAGGGTAGATATATATATATATATATATATATATACACACACACACATACACATATACATATATATATACTCTATATTTTTCTTCATATATATGTGTGTGTGTAAATATACAGATATTTATACTTCCTTTTTGAAATCAATGCTAAGCATTTTACAAGATACATCAAATCATTAATTGCAAACAAGAATAATACCTATCATCATAAAGCCACTTAGTTATTTGTCAGAAATTTCTTAGAAGATGCTGACCTTTGCTTAAGAGTAGCAAATTTCATTCATTACAAATATACTTCTGACAAACCAAAAAGCATAAAAAAGTGTCAATGGAGATAGGCAGATGAAGCCTAAGGATCTAAATCTCTGAGGACTGGTAAAAGACATACGTTGCTCTTCCAGAGGGCTAAAAAATTGAGAAAACGAGGAGCCAGGTACCGATACATTAGGACCAAGTTGGTTCTGTCACAGAATTAAGTCTGTGAGCTTTAGATTCAAGCAGTCTGGAGCTCGACTCCTACTTCTAGTTCTTAATAGTTGCGTAATCATGAGAAAATGATTTACTCTGAGTCTGTCATCATTTGTCAAATTGACTAATAATACCTACCCTGTACATATGTTGTAATAATTAAGTAAAATAAGATTTTTTTAAGGCATCTATCACAAGTAGACACTCTCTAAATGTTAGTTCCATTTTCCCTTTGTTGGGTTGGCTGGCTGAATCCTGAGAATCTGGAAAACCATATGCCATTTATATTTCTGTGTACAACAGGCTATTTTTATGAAAAGGATTCTGAGATTTTCTACACTTTTTATAAATCTAGTACTATTAGTTTTGGTTCGGTTGTTTTTTCTACTTGCCATCTTTTTCCCTGTAATTACCATAGTTAAACAAAATGAAACCACCAAAAAAAACAATAAAAAAAAAAAACCTCATCTTAAATTTGGGAAAAGAAGGAAGGAAAGAGTAAAGGGGAAGGGAAAGAAGGAGTCTGACAGTGAAGTGAAGATGTCGTAATCCATCCAATTTCAAGAAATAATAAATATCACAGGAGCACACAGTGTCAGGAAGTTCATAAGCATTATCTTATTTAGCGCTCACAATCACCCGAAATACTGCTATAACTCCGTTTTACAAATTACAATACTAAGGTTTAGTGAGAACTGCTGACCTGCTCAAGGACACGTAGCTAGTGAGAAACAGGCTTGTTCTTCACACCTGAACCTTCTGGCTCCAAGGTGGGTACCCTTCATTGCATTACAGTTTCTTCCACAGCCATAAGAGACAAGGGGATAGCTACAAACTGGAGAAATTGCAGATTTGGAAGGCCAGATCTCTGAGGTCCATAGAAAGGAGAAAGTGTTGCTGGAATACATACCCTGAACAGAAAAACGGGGTGGTCAAGATAAATCCACAGCTCTTTGATTCCCAATTTTTTTAAAGATTACCTTGATTACTAAACATCCTATTTCCTAACTCTTAAACTCTCTCAACGTCTAATTGCTCCCTATGCTCAACCAGCTCCTGCTCCTGAGTCTTAGGATATATCACGGGGGAGGCTCCAGAAGGACTATGAGACCATTTAAAATCTCCACAGAGGTGGGAGATATTTTCACTTCCATTAACTCTGAGGAAATCATCCTAGGTGATAAGGCAGCAGTTAGGGTTAAGTTAAGGCTGTAACGCAGATTCTTTTTGTGTTATCCTGAATGAAAAACAAAAAGACCATCGGGGATTGAGACCAAGAGAACCCAAACCCAATTCCCTGGCATCTAGGGAGA